ACGCAAGCAAGACGCCAACGCGAGATCGAGGAAAAGCAAGAGCAAGCACCTGCGCATGAGCAGGACACCTCTCAAGGCTCTCCGGGCACGCTCGAACAAGCAGGAGAATCCACCAGCGAAGCTTCCGATGCGACCGAGAATGGTCAGCATCAGCAGCAGAGCCAGGCGCCCAGTCGACTTGCTCACCCGACCCCGGATCTGACCTTGCCCATCTCTCGTCCTGCTTCAGCGACGCTAGCTGCTGAGGCATCGACCAGCGCGGACGCTCAACATGTCAATGTGCCTCATACCTGGTACGCCCGAGCTGAGGCCGCGCTTCAAAGAGAGTTGGCTGCTGAGCAGGCAGAGGCTAGTAAGGAAACTTCGAATGGCTGGTTGCGTCAAGGTCTGGTGGCGGAGGCAGACGCCAACCATGACAGCGAGACTGCGAGTGGCGCTGCGCCTTCGACACCCGGAAGGGTCCGCTTCGATTGAAGCACGACTTCTCATCGCATCTAGGCAAAGATGAGGGATGATCACGATGACAGCAGCAGACTTGCAGGAGGTGGCGCTGGCCTATTGCCATCGATGATCATTCCTCACACCGCGGAGCGCCCACACCTTGTCGGCCGCTTGTTCACGTGTCCACGAGATCCACAATTGTCATCACGAGCTGCATGCATGAGCCAACCTTCACAATTCTCATGTACACGCAACTCGTTACTTGAAGGGAGCGACACCGCAGAAATTCTGGGCAGTATGATAGCCTGGCCCAATCTTCATCGATAAGCATGCGGCCCGGGAAAGTCGTCCGTCTGTGATGAGTGCGGCTACCCCCTGGCGTTAACTGGTGTCGCGCAGAGAGGCACGTATTCAAGGCCAAAAAGCTGCAATGTGAATGTGAATGTGAATGTGCACGTCCGCGAAAGAAGAGGCTGTGCTGGATCGTTCGCATGCAAGTGGCTGTACGCCCATGCACAGAGCATGACGCATGTGCAGACGCACCGAAATAGGTGAAGTCGAGAGTCACGGTGCAGCGGTTTGTGCACGCGATCATGCACCTGTGATCTCTGCATGCTGCGAGCTGAAGATTTGTCCTCTGCTGGACCTGCTCGTAGGTTGCTTGATCCTTGCAGAGGTTGCCGTGCGCTCGTCCTCACTCGTCAGAAGCGGACCGCCTCCGTACCGAGTGCAATTTCAGCAGGAGGCAGAAATCGGGAATGGCTAATGATGACTGATTGCTAGTGTTTCGCATAAAGATCAGCTATGTACAGTAGCTCGTCTTTCAACCTTTCATGCTTTGGCGCAAGCGCAAATGTGCACGAATGCCAAGAGCGTCTCGCTCGAGACTTGTTTACCCGACGCCGATCGTCCCCACTTACCACTCAAATGTGCTTGAGGACATCTCCCTCGTGACTTGTTTACGCGTCGCCGATCGTGCTTTCGACACAGAACAAGCAGTGGTAAGTGGGGACGATGGAGAGGTGGCTCATTTCGCCAAGACCTAGCGTGCGTGCAAGACGAGAACGACACGCGAGCAAAGAGGGTCTGACACCCGACCACATGAGCGGCTATATACAAACAGGTATAAATCCTTGGTGGCAGGTCAGCACACTGACAAAGTGCGTTCGTGCAATGCGGAGTCTGAAACGGACCCGGCGAATTGGTCGACGACACTGGTGACTTGCTGATGAGCATCACAGCTCGCACTGATGCGAAACCGGTCGAGTGGGTGGGTGCAGGACGCACTCACGCTGCAGTCATGCACGAACAAGCGTCAGCAGCTGTCATGCAGG